CGCTGAAGAGGTGATAGCACTCGCCCTCCAGAAGCTTCCAATCGCTGCTGACACTCTCCTTGCCGGTCGACTTAACGCCCTCGAAACGCCATTCGCAGTCATAGAAACCGCAGGTGATGGGGGTGATCTCCGAGTCGCACAGAGGACACCGAGCTTTGTCCAGCATCAAATTAAACGGCCCGAAGCCGACAGGACAAATCACCGGGTTATATGTGACCCGACAGCTCTGTCTAAAATTTAAACAGCTCCCTTCGACGTTCAGCCCTTTGGAGCACACTCTCCAATCAGGAGCAGAGTCCGAGAACGACTCCCGCACCATGGATGTGTCATCGCTAACATCAGTGAAAAGAGATGATCCGACCATGCCGCCAAGCGGCGGACAAGATGCTCCGAGAAGCTGAGGAGATGCGCCGGCAAGCGGAAAAGATCCTCCGCCAGAGCCCCGAAGCGGAAGAAATGACATTGTCTGGAATCCGCCGACGCCCATAAGCGGATCAGATGACGGGAATCTGCAGCCACAATGTGGCTGCGGAGGTAGCGGCATGCTCATGTGCGCACGAGATGCTCGCCCTATCGAGGGGAAAAAGCCCGCTGCGCCGGGAGGGGAAGCCATTGTCAACATGTCTGAATCCTCCTCCTCCTCCGCACCTGTCCGCAATAAGTGCAGCTTCAACGTGCTTCCACTTTCGATATCCAGAGAGTAGAGAGGGGTTCGATCCTCCAACGCTTCATAAGAATTATTATGCAGATAGAGTACTTGTGACTCCACATCGTACCCCCCTTTCGACTTAATCATCCGCTTGACCCCCTCCACGCTTGTCTCATCGCTTACAGGAAACAACTCAAGGGTATCGCCGCAAGACACCCCATTCCTTGAGGGCTCCACGAACAATCTCAAGCTGTCGTTTTTCGACGCCGTACTGACAGCGAATCGCAACGGAGTGGCGTCAAAGAGGGGTACGAGATGACACAGCTTGTAAGAGGCGCGATCCTTCTCGAGGGGAACACCGTGGAACCAGAGTGATTGGACTCGTTGTCCCGTCTTTCGCTCAAGCAGTTGCTCGAAATCCCTGATGCTCATCTCCTCATCAGAGATTTCCTCCTTCAGTATACGCACCATCTTCACCTCTGCTTCCCCCGAAGTCCTCCACACAACGGAAAAGCCGCCGCTGGTTTCTGACTCAGCTCCACCGCCAGGGCTGACAGAGTCGCCTCGGCATCCCTCACCTCCGCCGCTAGTGTCACTGGACACACTGGACATAGCCAACTCCTCGTTTGCGGTCCCCGGGCTAGCCATCAGACAAATTTCTGCAGCCGTTTGCTAGAGCACTCTCTCTCTCTCTCTCTCTCTCTCTCTCTCTCTCTCTCTCTCTCTCTCTCTCTTGTTCTCTCTCTCTCTCTCCCCCGCTCGTTCTCTCTCTCTCTCTCTCTCTCTCTCTCTCGCTCGCTCGCTCACCCGCCC